CCTTGGTAGAGTAGCATGGCACCATAGCTCACAACAACCTCAAGCAAGACTGTCTTAAAAAAAATAGCTGAGCCTTGTGGTGGACGCCTGTAGTCCTAGCTTCTTGGGAGGCTGAGGCAGGGGGATCACCTGAGCCCCAGGAGTTTGAGGTTGCTGTGAGCTAGACTGATGCCATAGCATTCTAGCCTGGGCAGCAGAATGAAACTGTCTCAAAAAAAAAAAAAAAAATGTAGGATCCGCTCTGAAGTCTGGATCCATCTCTAAAACAAGAGCAACTTCTGCCTTTCCTCCCAGTGCACAGATGGGTTGCATTTGCCTTACCTAACTTTATGTCTATCCTCAAGGGCCCAGAAATTGTGAAAGCTTCTCCCTTTGGAAAATATTGTAGTGGGCGGATTAATGGTTCTCTAAAGATGTCCACATCCTAATCCTTGGAACCTGTAAACGTTATATCTTATATGGCAGAAAGGCCTTTGCAGATGTAAAGTTAAGGATTTTGAGGTGCTTAGATTATTCTGGATTATCCAGGTGGGCCCAATATATTCATAAGGGTGCTTATTAAAGGGGGCAGAAGATTGGAATGGGTAGCAGGATGTGTGGCAATGAAAGCAGCAGGCTGCAGTGATACAGGGAGGGGGCTACGAGCCAAGGAATGCCCGTGACTCTAGGAACTAGAAACAGCAAGGAAACAAATTCTTCCTTCAGAACATCCAAAAGGAACCATCCCTAACATTTTGACTTTAGACCCACAAGACTAATTTTAGACTTCTGACTTTCATAACTATAAGGTGATAAATTTGTGTTGTTTTTATTCCTAACTCTGTGGTAATTTGTGACAGCAGCAATAGAAATTAATATGGTTATCTTGGAGCTGTTCTGTCAGGTGCTTAGTGGTTCTCTTTTCCCCAGCCTCAAGAATGACCCAAGTGGGTGGGAATGTGTAGGTTGATGAAGCCATGTGGACAAGGGGCTGAGAGTGCTTTGGAGCCTTTTCTGGCCTTGGGCATCCAAGGGACCCCAACCCTCAGCTTGGCCCTTCCTGAGGTTTAGTGTTTTTTGAGAAAGGCTCTCCTTTCACAGTGAGGGCAGGACAGCTGGGAGCCCCAGGCTGGCCAAGGGGTGACGTGGGCGTCTCTGTCTCAGGAGCCTGGGCTGTACTGTGGTAGAGATGCTGACAGAGAAACCACCTTGGGCAGAATATGAAGCTATGGCTGCCATTTTCAAGATTGCTACCCAGCCCACCAATCCTCAGCTGCCTTCCCACATCTCTGAACAAGGCCGGGACTTCCTGAGACGGATTTTTGTGGAGGCTCGTCAGAGACCTTCAGCTGAGGAGCTGCTTACACACCACTTTGCACAGCTCGTGTACTGAGCTCTCAAGGCCACACTCTTGCTGGCCGCCCTTCACCATATAAGCAAGGGGCTGCTGTGGGGCTCAGCAAGTTGCTGCTTCTCCAGTCAAGGCTATGGGCCATGGAGCTGCAGCCCTGCCAGCGTTTGTCTGTGCATCTTCTGCCACTGGGCTTAGAGCTAGGTTGGGGTGGCTATAGCCTCAAGGACTGGGGGTCCCCAGCCTGCCAGACCAAGAGCTCCCAGCATCATGAGCTCTGCACGGAGGGAAGGAGCCATGAACAGTGTGCTCAGCGGCTATGGGCCCCAACCTCCGGTTGTGTCCTGACACTGCAATCTGCACCGATGCCAGAGGGTCTGGGACCACAAGACTTATGCCAGGGTATGAATAGTGTTATTTTCACTCAGAGTGTTATTTTGTTTCTCCTCCAATGTCTAGAGACCACCAGGGTGTCTCAGGCTAGATGAAGTCACTCAAAGCCTGAAGTAAAACTCAGCATCCCCCAAGCAATGGCAGGCAGAGGCCCAAGCTGACCCCTCTACAGCTCCAGGTCACCTCTGCCTGTTCTGTCCATTACCAAAGATGAATGGAGCAAATGTCATGCTGCCTTATTCAGGGAAGGAGGAGCCTGTCCTGCCTGTCCCCATGACCCTGCCCCCATAAGCAAGGGGCCTGAGATGTGGAATTGTACCCACTATTGGGGGGGACCCAATTTTGTCAATGCAATTGTCTCTGTTTTACAAGTTGGAGTCACTCTTATGCTATACCCAGTTTCTAAACTGGAGATTTCGTGCCCTCTGGGCTCTGAGTACCCCTGCTGTGGGCTTGGGCCTGGGCTGGCCTGGGAAGAGCTGAGGATAATGGCCTTTGTGCTCCTGGCCCATCGTCAGTCCCCCAGTAGAATGGAAGGGAAGGTGGACAACACAAGTGAGGTCATCTGGCCGGGCTGGTATCCTGAGCTCAGAGGCTGGGAGGTGTCTCAGGCTGCCTGAGTCATGACCTACCAGGCCAGAGCCCCCTCCATCTGATAGAAGGGAAAGCCCATGTGCTGCCACCAACTGTGTCCAAAACCGCCAGCTCTGTTCTTCCTTAGCCCGCCTTGCACACCCTCAGGAGGTCTCAGCCTCTTTCCATTCTTGCTCCTCCCTTGAGGGAAGAATGGCTGCAGGGGTCTGGGAAACAGCATCTCCAAGCAGCTTAGAGTTGGCCATATTTACCTCAGCCTGGGCGCTGGTCCTTTCTTCCGGCCCCTCCCCTCCAAAATGTGCCTATTGCTCAAGCTCCTCCCTCTCAACACCCAGTTTCCTTGGGAGTTGTCATTAAAGGGAAAAAAAAAAAAAGCCAGTGCCCAGGGATGGGCATCTCCAGGGAGCTGGGGGTGAGCACCAGGCAGCCCTGCCAGCCGTGCCTGCATCCCCATGGGCACAGAACAAGCCAAAGCCTTCGTTGTATGTTGACGATGCACTTTTATGAATGTAGTTTCTATCGCTGTTTTTAGCCTTTTCACATCATGTAATGTGAGGCCTTGTACTTGTTAATTTATATCTCAGATCATATTTGATGGTTTTTATATATATATCAATTCTAGACTGTTACAGGTGATGGACGCCTCAAAAGAGAAGAGAAAATGAAAGCAGCTGGTTTTGCAGAAATGTGTGTCGCATGGTGCCAGTTGGGCCTGGGCCCCTCTGTTTCCATCCCTTTTCCAAGGCCTGTCAGGGCCACTCCACTCCACACTACCCCTCTGAAGACAGTGAGCACATGCTCCTGTCTCCACCTCGCCCCTAGCCCAGGGTGGGGCGCAGCCTCTCATCTCGACCAAAGCTGCTGTGGCAGCTCAGCCTCTCCACACCCCCATCCTGCTGGCTGTACACTCTTCTTGGCCCTCACTCCCAGCCCCCAACCCTGTCCCCCAAGAGGATGCAGAGTGGTGCCGGCTGACTCTGTAGCTGTGTATGTCCCAGGTTCAGGTTCTCACAGAGTCCCACCCCCTGGGGTCTTACCTCACAGGGAACGTGTTTTAAAAATGAATTTGAAAATAAGCCAACAAATCCTGCACTCCAAAAAACCAAAAAAGACCCTGATTTTATTGTGCCAAAAACTGTGGACATGCTAGCTTAGCATCCTCAGGACCAAGCTGTTGTATAATTTTAATTTATTATTTTTTTTATTAACTAATCCAGATGAAAATTGTGGGGCTCTAGGACGACATGGGCCCAAAGGTTCTGAACGGCAGTTTCCTAGCAGCCCGTGGCTTGCTGTGGGACGGGGCCATGTCATCATTTTTTTCATTCCATGGGGTGTGTGCCTTGGCCAGCCGCATGGAGAGGCCAGGGCTGGGGATAGTCCACACTCTGCTGCCCTCCTGCTCTGCCTGCCCCAGCTCTGTTTATGTCTGAATTGTGGATCATGCAGAAGAACCTGCAGCCATAGTTATTTGACTATATCTTGACCGAGGGCTTGCAGTGCAAAGCCAGGCCAGTGTCGTGCATTACTTACAATAAAAGGGATCATTTATACCAGTGGGGTCCTGTGGCAGTGCTTTTGGAGAGGGGGACGGTGAAGGTGGGTCCTTGCCTTGGAGGGTCTGAGTATGTTGCCTGGCCACAAGCTGGGCCCTTCAAAGCAGAAGGGAACTTCAAATGACCCCAAGAAGAGTGGTCCTGGGGTGACTTGGCTGGGTATCACCATTAGCCCAGAGGTGGTTCCCTCCTTTCTCCACCTCCTCCTCCACCCCCCGCCTCCACCCCCACCCCCCCAAGCATCACCATTGGCTGTGTCCTGGCCCAGAACAGGACTCCCTTTAGTCCCACCCTTGCAGGGCAGGGGTCAGGTGCCTGCAGGAGCCACCTCTCTGGTATCTCCCTCTAGTCTACCCGCTATTGTTGCTTAACTCTGAGCAAGCAGGGGCTTTTCTTGTCCACATCTGAAACCTGTGGAGCAGGAAGTTGGGCCTGCTCTGAACAGCTCTCCTCACACTCCAGGACTAGGCTTGGGGTACCATCCCTGCTTCCTCAAGGAGCAGCGCCAACCTCAACATAGCACAGTGGCCCAGCTGCCTACCCTGTTCCATGAGTATGAGGTCACTTAGGAACTTGGGCAGTTATATGGGCAAATTATCATCACTGTGCCTAGGTTTTCAGAGGAACAGGTGAACAGTTTCTCCTGGGACTACCTAGGACAGTAGCTGTGGCTGGTCCATTCCCCAGAGCTTGAAAAGACAAGGGGAAGATAAGGAAGGGAAAGAGCACAGGGATGAGGGGGGACAAGGAGAGTAACACTGAAACCTTCAGCAGCACTTGCTGGGTCTGCTGGCTCCTACCATTCCTGGCTGATTTCCACAGCAGAAGGCAAGCAATGAGAGGAAAGGAGGCTCTGACAGTGGCTCAGCGGGAGGATTATGGCTTGCACCCCACATGTTCAAGTGCTATTGCCTACCAACCACCAGCCCTTCTGCTCTCAATCTCACACTGGGGTGTTATACCCCCTTTTCTTAGGGAAGTTATTTCCCTGATGCCCATTCCCCCAGTAAGGCCAGAGGTACTCCAGGCTAGCCCTATCCCTGCTTCCCACCCCCATGGTAAGTCTGCATCCTTCCTACCACAAAGCCCCCCAGCAGGCACAAAATACAGAGTCAGCAACTGTTTAAACATGTTTAAAATGGGGTTGATCACAACAGATGGGCAGAAACAGGGAAGCCGAGGGCCATGGCCAGCCCTGCTGCCAGTCTCTGGGGCACTCAGCCTGGTGGGTGCTTTACTTCTGCTTTTCATGGATGCCCGTGGTTCAAGATGGTCCCAAGCCCCGCTGGGACAGGCCCTGCTTTGCCGGGGCAGGGTGGCTCCACTTCCCCATCCCCTCCCCCATAAGCTGCAGCAGCATTCATGAGGCCCAACAGGTGGCACCCTCTTTGCTCCCTGTCTCTGTGGCTCAGGACCAGGCTAAGGGCAGAGGTAGATGGGGATACAAGGGGGCCACATATGGCCCCACCAGGGTGGCAGTGAGGGAGCTTGGGACCCTGAGGGGGGCATGCTGACTCCTTGCTGGAGAAAAGGCACCTAGATAGGGAAGCTGGGGTGGAAAGCTGCAGGAAGCAGGGAGGTGAACAAACCCCAATCCTGGTTCCAAACCGCCAACCCTGGGGGAGAAGGAAGGAGTCCTGGAGCGGGGCCCTGCCCCGAGACCCTCTGCCTGAGCAAGCCGCGCCCCTCCCCAACCCGCCCCAGCCCAAGCCCAGACCCAGCCTCCTTCCCACCCAGCCCCCTGCCCGCCCCGGCCTGCCGAGGAAACGGAATGTCAAAGGGGTCTCAAGCCGTCTTGGTGCCAGGGTCCACCTCCTTGTGAGCCCAGAGCTCCTTGTGCTGCTTGCGGCCGAACCCTTCATCGTAATTGCCTTTGCTCTTAAACAGCTGCTGAAAGTGGGGTTTGCAATAAAACTCCCCGTGCAGCGCCGCGTAGCTGCCCAGGCTGCAGAAGCAAAACACCCCGTCAGGACCGCGGGGCTGGTGGGCAGGGGCAGGGGCAGGTGAGGCAGGGGCGCACCTGAGCTTGGTGTGACAGTGCTTGCAGCAGAAGCAGGTGTTGTGGAAGATGAGTTTGTCTGCCACAAGCCGCTCCATGGGGTACACAGTCTTCTGGCAGGCGGCACAGGTCTCCTTCACCTGGGCCCGCAGGCTGAAGGACTGTGCCGGGACACTCAGCCAGGGCCCTGCCCAGCGCCCACCCTTCCTCCCACGCCCACCCTGAGGGCCCTACCTTGGAGCGCTGCACAGTGCTGCCGCCACCGCCACCTTTGGCTTCCTGAGAGAGAGGAGCAGTCAGACCATGCCCCACCATGGCTTTGCTCGCCACCCCAGTTCCCAGTGGCACTCAAGAGGGGCAAAGAATGGCAGGCCAACACGCTGCTCTCGCCCTTCGCCCCCAGGCCAGGCACCTGCCCGGGAGCCCCTCCCACCGGCTGGTCACCTACATGAGAGGGGGTGGCTTGGGCGGTTCCTGCAGCCGGGAACATGGCTCGTTGGAGATGGTGAAGGGCCCGAGTGCAGATGCGGCACCCGCTGGGTTCTGCAAGGGGAAGTCGGTCGGGAGGGCCCCACAGGCCCTTCCCCAGTCTGCAGGGTGGGGGGTGTTTACAGCAGGGGGCTAGGGGGCTGCGGTTGGGACTTTCCCTAAGTCATTTCCTGTTGCTCTAGGTCTTGCCACTTCCGCCCCTCACCCCCACCCCCACGCTGCTCCCCGAGGAGCAGGGGTCCTGAGTGGAACTGTATACGGTGAAGGAACAAAGCACAGGGCCGAGGGGCTGGGGCTAGAGGATCCCGCATGGCCGCCGTGTGCGCCCGGCGCGCGGGGACCCGCCAGGGGTGAAAGGAGGTCAGGAGAGGGCGGGGCCGGGCGGGGCAGCGACAGAAACCCAGCCTGACCCCGGCCCAGAGCCGCCCCACGCTGAGAACGCGGGCACCCAGCTCGCTGCGTAGCCCCTGGACAGCGCCTGCCCGCCCGGCCGCCGGCCCCGCCCAGCCCTGCTTGGCCGATCCACCGCCCAGAGGGTCCTGCTTCTCGACCCCCTGCCCCGCGCGGACCAGATCCCGGCCCCAGGATCCCGTGGGCCCGGCAAGCGGGACTTGGTCCTGCCCCTGCCAGAGGCCGGCCCGGAAGGGAAGACTCAAGCCTCGGGGGCCGCGGGTGAGCGCGAAGCACGGAGTCGCAGAGCATCCAGACCCTGAGGGCGGCGGGGGAGGCGGCCCTTGCCCCCCTACCACGACGCCCGCAGTTCGGGAACCGGTACAGGCTCCCCTGGGCCCGCCCGCGGGTCTCACCGGGCCCCAGCCTGGGCCGCGCGGCGGGGGTCGGTCTCCGGGGAACGCCTCGACTGCGAGGAGAGCGCGGGCGCAAGACACCGCCTCTGCCAGTGGTCCCCGAGAGGCAGCCGCCGCCGCCGCCTTATCGCGGCACCGCCCCCGCCGGCCCCCGCCCCGCGCCCGCCCATTGGCTCCGCCGCGCCCGGAGCCGCCTCCGGGGCCCCGCTGCCGCCGCCGACCCCCCTCTGTGCTTTGTCTCTCCCTCGCTAGCCGTCCCCGCCTTTGTCTGCCCCCTGCCCCGACCCCGCGCTCCCAGCCCCGCACCGCCTCCGGGCTTCGAGCTCGAAGGCCTCCGGGAATCCGCCGCCCGTCTGCCAGCTCCTGACGACTCCAGGTTCCCGGGCAACCGCGAGTGGGGAAGCGACGGTGTTGGGGACAGGAGCATGAGGGCATGGCACCGCATCTCTCGGGGCGGGGACAAGTTCTGGTTGAGACTGCTGTGGTCGCGGGACAGGACATGCCTGCGCCACCCGGCGGAAGGGGATAACCCCAGCTGTGCCTGAATCTTTCACTGCCTCAGTTTACCCTGGTTGACCCTCGTGCGCAGGTCTCAGCGGTCCTGGTACCCACCTGGCACTGTGTGAGCCTGCAGCCTCAGATACTCTGCTGGGGCGACCACTAAGCCACACCTGGGGTCACCCCAGCCTGGCCCCTCTACTCCTCCGGCCACGGAGTCCTCCCGCCGCCAGGGGCCGCCCCCGCGCGGCCCACGGAGGAAGATGGCAGCTGCGGCTGGGCACGCGGTCCCGCTAAACTGGGCCGCGAAGCTTCGAGTTTGGCCACCTAATGGCAGTGGAGCTGTCCAGCCACCGGGTTCCAGTGGGTCACCACACCTCAGCTTTTTGCGACTCTGAAGACAAGGGGGCCGCAGGAGCTGCTGCCCTTGTTATTCCCAGAGCACCCACCCCTCCCAAAGCCTGATATCCTTAAACGTTTCTATGGCCGGGTTTTGTGGGATGAGTAATCCCCTGATACCTGGGGCCACGGATGCCCTGTAAGTCAAGAGCACGCCCTCAGGGAAGTGATTTCCATTCTTCCAACAAGCCAACCTCATTTAGCACTGGGGAGCTGAGTCCTATAGATTTGAAGTTCCAAGTACCAAAGCTTGCGCAGCACAGCTACACCCTGTCCCTTCATGCAGCCCACTGCAGAGAGGTCTGAGGCTCGCGGGAAGCAGGTGACACTCACTCAACTTGCAACCTCTATAGCCTTTCTGGGCACCAGGGGCTGCTTGGCTCTGCCTGAAATCGAGCTGGAAGCTGTTTTTTGGGAAGCACAGTCCTAAACATAGTGTGTTCCCACACTGTGGCAGGAATAGAACCCATAGCTCCAGAGTGCAGCCCACACACTTGTCAGGAAACAGAACAGCTCCCGCCTGCTGGCTGGCAGGGAGCAGCAGACAGCAAGCTCCTCAGCCCCCAGCCGTTTTCTGTATGGTGCCACGTGCCTACTGGCCAGCTTCACTTTTCTCCTCCAGCCTCCTGTTGTCTAGAGGAAGACCTGTGTTTTGCCTGCCCTGTGGGCTTCAGACCCCACGGTGGGGTGTATGTCAGAACCCTCAAAAACTGGAAGAGAATGGGCACCGGCCACATACACCAAGGCTGGTGAGTTCAAATCCGGCTCTCGGCCAGCTAAAATCAACAATGACAACTGCAACAACAACAACAACAAAATAGCCAGGCGTTCAAACAAAAGAAAGAAAAAAATAGCCAGGTTTTGTGGCAGGTGCCTGTAGTCCCAGCTACTTGGGAGGCTAAGGCAAGAGACTTGCTTAAGCCCAAGAGTTTGAGGTTGCTGTGAATTGTCATGCCATGGCACTCTACTGAGGGCGACATAATGAGACTCTGTCTCAGAAAAAAAAAAAAAAAACCTGGAAGAGTATCTTTCTGGGGAAAGTTCTGCCTCTGTGAACAGATTCTTGAAGGGGGTTGTTTGATGCAAGAAAGACAAAGCCCTGGGGGGCACCCACAGGGAGCAGGGCTAGCCAGCTGCAAGGGCTGGCTTGGCAGGCCTCCATTGAGGCCCTGTCCCTCTGGGCCCAGCAGGTGGCCACTGCTGAATCAGCCCATTGGGCATGGAGGATGAGCTGATAGCAGGTGAAGAAGGTAGTCCCAGAAGGAAAGAAAACTGATAACAGTAAGCCAGTGTTAAGAAAACGGAACATGAGAAAAAAGACAAAAATGCAAGCTGGGGGCTGGAAATAATTGTGTCCTCAGGCCCTATCCCTACCTCATGGTTAGTGTCATCCCCTTCACTTCAGCTCCTACCATAGCCCAAGGGAAGAGGATTTGTCTTTTTCTTTTCTAAACTGGGGTTAAAATTTCTGAGGAAAGGGAAAGTAAGGGTGTTTGATGGTTCAGAGTGGCTTCAGGGGAGGGGGACACTGAAGTGCCTGAGCTAAAGAAGGGCCCTTCCTCGAGGAACTGGCATGGGGAAAAGTGCCAGGCTCAGCCTGGGAAGCACCAAGGGGAATACCCAGGTAGGAATCCTACCCCCACTCACATTCCCCGTCGTGCAGTCAGCCAGGACGGCTGGTTCTTAGGTTACTTGCTCTTTGGATATTGGTACCCAGGGTAAGGAGACACCCCAAGTCAAGTTACAAAACAAAACCTATCATCTCCTTTCCAGCCAGAAGTGAGCATCTTCTGTGTCGACCCCTAGGGGCTGGTCTCTAGTACCTTTTAGACCTTTCCAGCTCCTAAGTGATTTGATGGCCACAGGCTAAAATTAAGTCTGGAAATTTTAGAGCCTTAATAGACAAATCTATTATGGTTTTTAAAATAAACTGGTCAATGTAATGAAGGAGGACATTGCTGTGCTTCCACAAACACTTGTGGACCTGCCTTTGGACAGCAGAACCACTCTGCCTCTCACCTGAGACCATACCCATCTTTGTTAACACTAACACCAGGAAGCAGGTCTGTAGTCCCTGCACTGATGCAAACACAACATGCCAATTCTCTAATAGATTCTCTAAAAATTTTAATTTGTTCTGATAATGAAACTAATAGCATAAGGACTTAAATCCTCAGGCTAGACAAGATGACATGGCCCTTAAGAAAGTGCCCAGGCCACTAAGAGGAGGCATTAAGATGGATTCTTGGTGGGAAAGAAAGAGCTACACAGATGAACCCTGGGAAGGTTTTAGGTGGCAGGGCCCAAGTGAGAAGAATGGTAAGGGTGGATTGCCCCAGCCTTAACCTATGCTTAACGGGGCAGAAATACTCTTCCCTTCAATTATTAGGGAGGGGTCTGAGAGGGAGGGAGGAAGGTCACTTATTACTTGCCCATTTGTGGACCTGTAGGATATAGAAACATAGGAAAAGAAAGGAATTAGGCTGGAAGGAAAGCAAGCATTGGGAAGAGGAGCTGACGGTTCTCTGAGTCAGTGAGTCAGACTCTGGGCTTGGACTTCAGGGCCAGAGCAGCACCTCTTCCTTCTGAGAAGCTCACCTGAGCTCAACCTCACAGGACTATCAGCTTTTGGACCCCACCTGGTTCCTGGTTGTTGCAATTCCTTTGTGTCTCAAAAGCCTTAGACCAGTGAAGAAAAGTCTCTCTAGGAATTTCTTTCCCAATCAGTCAGCAACCAACTTTCCTGGCAGAATGTTCTTTCTACCCAATCTGCACCCAGGAGGGTGGGAATGTGATCAGCCCTCAGACAGGGCCTCCTGGAGGCCCCATGTCCCAGGCTAGAGAATGTGCACAGTCTACAGAGGCTCAGAACTCCCAGTCGTCCACCTCCAGCTCTTCCAGGTTTGTAACCAGGCCAAAGATTCCACTGTGATCCTGAGACTGGCTGCCCTCAAAATTGGTGATGGGGTTGACAGGACGAAGTAATTCAGGCAAAGCCTCTGAGGCACGTCGTTTGATCTGAGACAGGAGAGAGAGTTTGGTAATGGATCCTGTTGCTCTGGGCCCCAGGACACCATGGGGCAAGGAACCATGGCCCGGTGACAGATGGGCTGTCAGAGCCAATGACTCCATAAGAGGAAGGAGCAGTACCTTTGAGGGGCTTCAGAAACATGGTATTTTCCTAATTCAAAGGAAAAGAGGGGAGAATACCTAAAGACCCCCAAGCTAGAATACCCCCAAGCTTTAGAATACCTAAAGACCCAAGGGATTGTGGGTAATTAGAACCAAAGGCAAGAAAAAGCAACCGAGGGAACATGCAACTATACCTGCTTAAAGAAAGAGTGGTTCAGGAGAGTGCTGGCACTTGGCCTGGAGAGAAGGGGGAAGAGAGACCAGCATGACCACTGTGCCCAGAGTCCCAAGTCCTGCTTGCTTAACCTTTATCCTCAAAGGCCCTCTACTTCTTCCCTTAGCTCACCATGGAAGAACAGCCAGAGCTCCTCAGGCTGGCTTCTTAGCACACTCAGGTGCTGGTCCCACTGGCTATGGGAGTCCAGATTCCTTCTGTGACCCCAGACTCTTACAGAATCTTCAAGAGGTATATCCTTCCAATCCTGGCCCTAACTCCAATGCTCCCCCTGTGTTCCCCAAAGTTCAGCTCCAGGCCAGCAGGGATACCTTGCATCAGGGTTGCGCTGAAGGCACTGCTCCACAAAATGGTGGAAATGGGGAGAGAAGGTTCGGTGGTAAGGGTGGGAAGGTGAGTCGCCATTGGAGGGCCGGGGGTTGCTGGTGGTCAGGTTCTCGCTCAGGCCAGGGTTGGCTGCTGAGCGTGAGCGGCTCATGGTCAGCTCCTCAGCAGGGATGGTGCTGGTATCCAGTAGGCAGGGCACTGTGCCATTCAGTTTTTCCAGCAGCATCTGGGGAGGACAGAGTCAGGCCTGGGTTAGAAGGGGGCCCCTAGGAGGTCTTGAGAGTCTCATCAAAAATATATTTCCCCCAATATACTAAAGTGATCTTTTGGGGCTAAAGGAAAGATGAAAATGGAGTAAGTTTGACTTTTCCATAGGAACGTTGACCACTGGTGTTGCCTCTATACCCTAGCTAGGCCAACATGAAAAGGAGGAGCAAAGGGATTGCATAGAAGTCTCCCCTTTCACGTAGCTGGGAGGAAGCGCTTGCAGCTTCCTCTCCCCGCTTATAAGGCATCAAATTGTTT